TTTTTTTTTTTTTCCATTCTCATTTTTCACATAATTTAATATTATTTTTAATTATTATTATTTCTTTTGTATTTTATCCATTTATATATTTTTTATTTAGTTGGTATTATTTTTGTTTTCCCTTTTTAGCTTGCAAAAAATATAGCAAACAGCTGTCTTATTTGTTATTGCTCTGCAGGAGTCCTAGGCATTGCTCTTGCAGTGTTTAAGAAGTCTAATTGTTACCTCAGATTTTGTCTTGGCGAACTTAAAGCACAGCCGAATTGGACCTAGGTTGTGCTCTGTTGCTGCTATTTAGGCGGCTAGGAACGAGTTTCCCCTTAAATAATGTCAATTTCATTATTTACCTTATTTAGGTTTTGTGTTAGTGTTCAAGTTATGACCCCCTTGTTCCCCGGGGATCTTGTGTTATGTTCCAAACAAAAGGGTGTTTATTGCTTATTTCAACTGATGTCATATTTCACTGTACACATCTATGCTTCCCATCCTGCTTATGAGACCAACAGTTTTAAAAATAAATCAAAATCTATAGAACAATGGGTGAACTGAGAATTGTAAGTTATAATGTGAAAGGGCTTCATAGCCCAATTAAGAGAAAGAAAATATTGCGCCAGCTAAAACAATTCAACTGCCACATTGCCTTTCTTCAAGAAACACATCTGCCTGATGCAGAACACGAAAAGTTAAAATCATGGGCAGACAAAATATATTACGCTTCCCACAAATCTGGACGCAAAAGAGGAGTCTCAATACTTATTCACAAACAGATAAACTTTACTAAAAATTCATTGCATAGGGATAGTGAAGGGAGATTTTTAATAGTTAACGGGGTAATTGATGGTGTCGAAGTTTCTCTCATTAACGTATATGGACCGAATGAAGATGAACCAGGATTCATTAAAACATTATTCAATAAAATCATACAACATAGTACCGGACTGTTGCTGATGGCAGGAGATTTTAATTGTACAATGTCCCAGTTTGCCGATAGACAACCACCATCAAGAACACCAATGCCTAAAATGAGTAAAGCCCTTAAACACCTCGCTTTAGAGGCTGGTCTGGTCGATGTATGGAGAAGTAAACACCCAAGAGCTAGAGATTTCACTTTCTATTCTAATAGACATCTATCTTACTCTAGGATAGATTATTTCTTTACTCCTAAGGCAAATTTGGACAAAGTGACAGATATTGAGATTATGCCGATCACCTTATCCGACCATGCGCCTGTCCTGTTACAATGGGACATAGGACTTAGACCAACAACCAAACAGTGGAGGCTAAATACATCCCTGTTGAATGATAAAGAATTTGTGTCCTTCATTACCAATGAATTAAAGGAATATCTGAACAACAACTCTAAACCAGAAACAAATCCTCTAATTTTATGGGACTGCGCTAAAGCATACTTGCGAGGCAGAATTATTTCATACGCAGCAGCGAGAAAGCGGGAGAGAGAAGCCAAGCAAAAGGAACTAGAATGTAAAATAAAAAAAATGGAATATGAACATAAACAATCTAAAAAAGCTACCAGTGTGAAAGAGTTAAACGCGACTCGAAGACAACTAAATAGCCTATTATCTGTTAAAATTGAAGGTAACTTAAGATTCACGAATCAAAGATACTATGAGGATGGAAATAGGGCCAGTAAATTATTAGCGTTTAGACTACGGAAACAACAAGCATCAAATATTGTACAAAAAATTAAGGTCCAATCAACTTATGTTACTAAACCAAATGACATATCTAAAGCATTTTCAGAGTTTTACAAATTACTGTATAAAAATACGGACACATGCACAAATGAGCAGGAACTTGCAGAATATTTAGAACATATAAAGATCACAGAACTGACAGACCAGTTAGCTGAAGAACTTGACAAACCTCTCGAGGAGACCGAAATTAAACAAGTCATCTCTTCCCTTAAGGGCAATAAAAGTCCAGGGCCAGATGGCTATGTTAATGAGTTCTATAAAGTGTTTAAAGACTCACTTGCACCTTTATTACTAAAAGCTTATTCATTCGCTTTGGAGTCACAAAAATTGGCACCATCATGGTCAGAAGCCACAATAATTGTTATTCATAAAGAAGGCAAGGATCCCACAGATTGCCAATCCTATAGGCCTATATCTTTGTTAAATGGTGATCTGCGTATACTAACAGCGGTATTAGCAAGGCGTGTCAATAAAGTAATAACCCATATCATACACCCTGACCAAACTGGGTTCATTACAGGAAGGTACTATGGCAATAATCTTCGGCGTCTTTTAAATGTAATATCCCATCTGAACAATGAAAAACTAGAATCTGTAATCATAGCTTTGGATGCACAAAAAGCATTCGATAGAGTATCATGGCAATACCTATTTCAAACATTAAAGCGATTCAAATTCGGCCCAAATTTTATCAAGTGGATAAAAACACTCTATTCATCACCACAAGCAGCTGTACGGGTTAATGGACATAGATCGGACCGATTTGACCTGGAACGTGGATGCAGACAGGGCTGCTCACTATCGCCCTTACTGTTCGCTATTAGCATAGAGCCGCTAGCCCAACTTATTAGGGATGATCAGAATATGAAAGGCGTTGTAATAAATACAGAACAACATAAAATATCACTATATGCTGATGATGTCCTATTATATCTTACCGAACCTGCTTCAACAATTCCCCATTTCAAATATGTCATTCAGCAATATGGATATTACTCAGGATATAAAGTGAATGTTGACAAAACTGAAGTTATAGATGTAAACAACCTTGTTAATGACAATGTCAAACTCCTAAGTGGATTTAAATGGCCCAAAGAAGGCATTAAATATCTCGGCATTTTTATTCCATCCTCCTTAAGTGATTTATATAAATCAAATTACACAAAAATAATTAAAAATATTGGCAATGACTTAGAGCGATGGTCCTCTATCCCTCTCTCTCTATTAGGCAGAGTTGAAAGTGTGCGCATGAATATTCTACCTCGGATTCTTTATCTATTCCAGATGTTACCTATAAATATTCCAAAACAAACATTTGACTACATCGACAAATTAATATCGGCCTTCATATGGCAAAAAAAGCGGCCCAGAATAAGGTTAAAAACTTTGAAATTGTCTAAAATGGATGGCGGTCTTAAGCTCCCAAACCTTTCAATGTATTATTGGGCAGCACAAATGAAACCACTGTTATCATGGATCCAAAACGATGAAACGACGAGATGGTTAAACATAGAAAAGAGCAAATGTGTAGAACCCCTACAAGAATTACCATTTTTAGATGTCCAAATTAAAGAAATGACCGGGTGGACTAAACATACACTTAATATTTGGAATAAAATACGGTCATCCTACAGACTGCCCAAGAATCTCTCATCATTGACAAACATTGGATCAATGAAAACCTTTCTCCCCAACGTATTGGATAATGGCTTTAAGAAATGGACAGAAAATAGCTTAACATATCTATATCAACTGATCAAAGATGGCAACATTAAAACATTTGAGGAAATAAAGGTTGAGTTTGGTCTCCCCAACACAGACTTTTTTAGATATTTGCAACTGAGATCATTTCTAATGTCTCACAAAGACTGGGAAAAAATATTACATTCCAACCCCATAGAACAATTTTTAGTCAAACAAGTGGTCAACAAAGACAAAAAAATTATTGGTAAACTGTATGATATATTTCTGTCTCTAAGTACCTGTAATTCACTAAATATTAAACAAAAATGGGAAGCAGAGACCATGATGAACATATCAGATGAGACTTGGGAGGAAATATGTACGGAGTCACACCTTGTCACAAACTCAAACACCTGGCGAGAATTCAAATGGAAAGTTGTGACTAGATTCTTTAGAACACCAGCTATATCGGCTA